TGTATGAAGGCTGCACATACATTTCTATAGACGAGGCAAAAAATATGGATCAAACTCAGCTTGAGAGTCTCTTGGCTGGCAGTGGAGAAGTTGATGGGGACTCCATCCAAGATGAAACTTTGCGTGAGGCAATGCTGAAGGCAATGCCTGCCATTATAGATGCTAGCACAAATTTAAGTGGCATTAAAAACCCTAAACCAGATGGCACTTTGTTGGAGTCGGTGTCACTATCAAAACTTATTCCATCCCCAATATTGGCGACTACAACAGGAGGCACCACACCCATTTCCTCTATATCTTCATACGCTCTACCTTGTAAGTTTTAAATTATTTATAAAGGAAAGATAATCATACAGAAGCCATCGATTGTCCCCCTATTAGTTTGTCAAAGCCTTTTTTGTTCCTTGATTGCCTATTATAGACTCCTACGCGACTATTAAAATGACATTCGTATTCACCATTTTTCCATTATTCATTTTGTCCTGATTTTGGTGTTATTTACCTATTTTCTTGCTGAACTGCAATGAGCCTGGTAGAAACTTCATAAACCTTATTAATTCTGATTTTATCTACAATGTGCACTTTAATATCATTTGGCAGATTCTCTTCTGCTTTCCCATTGCCTAAATCCATTGTTCTACTAGCTTATTAAAATGGTCTATTGAATGAAGACCGAACTTTCTTTCATCGGCTTGCTATTCCAAGGTCGTTCATTTGCTCCTTTCAACATCTGAGCAGTTTTAGTGATTAACTAGTCATATTTTCTATAAATTTACTACATACATTTATGTGTTCCTGAAAACATTTCCGCCAATATTCGATACCAAATTATTAAGCAGTGTTTAGTTTTGCACGACTCTCCTCGCTACAATGATTAATTATCTGCAAATTAGAAACTACATTTTTCTATTGCCTCTCTTCAGACTTTGATGTGTTCCCAAGGCCTCTATCGACTTTGAATTTAATTATATACTTTATTCATAAAATAAGGCTAGTGTAAAAACCGAACACTGAAGATTGACTGCTTCCGTCGTGGATGGAATGTAGATTTCTTGTTCCATTTAGCTAAACTCTGGGGGATCATCTTTGTCAGGCCTTTTCCCTTAGCCCATTTCATGTTTTTCTGCGCCTTCACGTATTGAATATTATTGCGCCCAATCCATTTCGATACTGCAATTTTATATGTGGACTATATTTTGCCCAATTTTTAGATTGTGGTGTTGTATTGTTCGTAGACCTAAAAAGTGAGGCAACTGAAAAAATATGCATATATATTGGCATATAATTATTAATCTTTATTTTTTATTGATAAATTTAGAAGACACGCTCATGATTCTAACTGCCTTAATGCCAACACTTATAATTTGAGTTCTTTTCTATTAATATTTATTTTTGATCGCTTATCCGAGTTGATGACTTCTAAGATGGGTGTTTCTCTGTTATTGTTAATATTTACTCTTTATTAATAGACCTCAGTCCTTCAGTTATTATTTCAATATTTTATTCGTATAGCAAAACTATTCCATCAAGAGAACCTGCTTTTAGCAGTCATTATTTTGATTTTAATTGTTAGCATGATGGTATCATTTTATCGATTATATTTTGCGCATTTTACACACCATAGTCCAAAAATATCGTTAGCTTAAGGCTTTTACAGATGTATGTAATATGAACCATCTAAAGCTGTAAAACCATATTGGTATATTTTCAACTTGAGTGTGGGATGTCAGTGTGGCACTATTGTGATACTTGTTTGACTCAATTGCTAGTTGATTCATTTTATCATATATATAGATAGATAAGTATGCATTGATATATATTTATGGAGATTATATAAATGCTGAATGAGTTAAGGTCCATAATGTAATTCTTTGTGATTTATTATATTATTCTCATCTTATTTCCTTACTATCGCACGTATATGACCCAACTGTATCTCGCTTTTAAGTAGATTACATGATAGTATTTTAATGACTACTTGTTTTTTTCATTACTAATTGGGGTTTTATTCTGGTATTTTTTTCGTGATAAGTTTCAGGTTAAGTATTTTAGTTCTTTCTAAACTATGGTTTTGCATCGTTATAATACTCCATAGGATTGGGTCGTCTTGACAATTTTTATTTTACACTTAACATTCTCTCCTTTAAGATGACTACCCACTATTTCCTTTATGAAACAAGTTCAGATAAAATGTGTTTCTACTAATAATTCTAAGTGAAATGTATAACTTTGGTATAGCTAATCGCCTCCGACGTCATTTACAAGTCTTATCTTCCAATCTTCATTCTCGCTTTGTAGACCTTATAAGAAACGAGGTCCGCTCTTATGCATTATTGATGTGGCTAATTTAGTTTTTCTTATCAAACTTTCTATGTTTGCATCCTGCCTTATCTGTAAATGCCTTTGGAACATTAGGCAACTTTGCGCCACATAACCATAAGGGACCTGACCCTTATGGTTATAAGGGACCTGACATTATATAGCTGTAGTCACGTTTCCATGCTCCGTGGCTTGGATTTTTTTGTATCATTTAATCATATATAGGATAGAAGTGGGTTGAACTCGTTGTCGTAACTTGGTCTTGTTGTCAGGGCGACCATGTAGAACGCACCTAGTCCGAAGTCGTCTGCCATAGTAGTTGT